CGTGCTGACATCTCCTCAGGGTCCTCAGAGGCCTGTGGGAGACCACTTGTGTGGGACCAGGGCCCCAGTGGCCTTTAAATGTAAAGGTGTAAAGGTTGCCCCTAGAAACAGGCCTCACTGCTGGTTGCCATGGCAGTGTTGCTGGAAACAGGTCCTGACAGGCTGCCATCATATAGTGAGAGTTTTTGTGGAGGCTGCCATCATATAGTGATAGTTTTTGTGGTGGCTGCCATCATATAGTGATAGTTTTTGTGGTGGCTGCCATCATATAGTGATAGTTTTTGTGGTGGCTGCCATCATATAGTGAGAGTTTTTGTGGAGGCTGCCATCATATAGTGAGAGTTTTTGTGGAGGCTGCCATCATATAGTGAGAGTTTTTGTGGTGGTTGTCAGTACACAGGGGGGTTGGAGGGAGATGATCATTAAGGTCCTTTCAAACTCAAACCATTCTGTGATTCCCTGGGTTCCTATAGCCCCTCCCCATCTCCCACAGCCCTTATGGGTTCCTATAGCTCCTCCCCAGCCCCACATGTCCTATAGCCTCTCCCCCAGCCCTTATGGATTCCTATAGGCCCTTCTTCCCCTCCCCCAACCCCTATGGTTCCCTGTAGTCCCTTCCCCAGCCCCCTGTGTTCCTGTAGCCCCCTCCCCCTGCTCTCCCAGTCTCTGTGGATTTCCATAACCCTTCTCCCAGACCATGTGGTTTCTATGGCCCTTCCCCTGGACTTTATGGGTTCCTATAGCCTCTCTCCCCTCCACTCCCCATTTGTTCCTGTAGCCCCTTCTCCAGCTCCAGGCTCTACAGCTCCAACAGCCCCTTCCTCAGATTTTATGGGTTCCTATAGCCCCTTCCCCAGCCTCTATCTGTTCCTACAGCCCCTTCCCCAACTCCCCTGCTTTGGAGACGAGCTGTGTGGGTCTGTGTCCTTGCACCAGTCCAGGCAGGTGACATGGGTCAGTCTCCCCTTGTCGACTGTTGCAGTTGCTCTGTCACCAATGGTCAAGCACAATTTTGTGGTGGGGCTGTGCTGGCTGTCTCAGGTCACCTCCTTGTCTGGCTTCTGCCTTAACATCGCTTCCATGAGGATCTGCTCCATGATCTTCCCAGGCACAGAGGGCGAGGCTCTCCGGTCTGTAGTCCCCCTGTCTTCCTTTCTCCCCTCTTTAAAAAGAGGAGCAGTATTTCCTTAGTTCCAGTCCCCAGGGACTTTGCTTGAGTTTTCAAGTGGGATAGAGAGGGGCTTGGCAACCCCATCAGCCCATTCCCTCAGGATCCTGGCAGGCATCTCATCAGGCCCCACAGACTCGAGTCCAGTCAGTTCCATCAGGTGATCTCAAACATGCTCTTCTCTCCGCCACCTGGAGGTTCAAGGACTTGAGACATGTCTTCATGTTTTATTGTGTTTTACTTATTAAACTGTTTACTTATATTTTCCAAGTCTCCTGCCCACCAGGGGAGAGGGGAGGAAGGGGTGGGGGGTGAGCAAGCAGCTGTGTGGTATTTAGTTGCCAGCTGGGGTTAAACCACACTGGTGGAGGCCCAGACTCATGCACATGAGTCAGTCTGAGCAGCTCATGCCAGGGCTCACCCAAAGGGGAGCAGTGGGAGCACCCCGCTCTCCAACAGGAATTTCCTTCCCTGCTGTGCCACAGTCTCAGTCTTTGGTGGTTCCTCATCCTGGAACTTCCTACTAAGAGTCACAGCCATCCCAGACACCTCTCTCAGGTCACAGGAGCCACTACCCTGGCAGTGAGGGTGGTGGCAGTGACCACACAGAGTGGCCAGTGGCTGGAGGGCAGCATTGGTTCCTGCTCAGCTCTTTCCCACCACACTTCCAACCCCCCTGTGATTGTGGCTCCCTTGTGACAAGAAGCACTGTGCTAAACTGAAGCCAGTCCTGGGGACCCCCAGGGTGGTGCACACAGCTTGTAAGATGGGGCTGGGGGAACTTGGCTTGCTTAGCCTGGAGTCCAAGGGGCTCAGGTGGCCCTGGCAGCAGCACGGGGTGGGGCCTGCGGGGAGGTTGTCAAGAGGGGACAACAGCAGGGCAGCACAGTGACAGTCACCAGGTGACACGGGACACCCTCATGGCTCTGGTCACTGATGGCTGCAGTGTGACATGCAGAGACTTTCAGCCTCTCAGAGTTGCTCCCAAGCCCAGCACACAGAGGGGTTCTGGGTGCCAGCACACATGGTGGGCCATGTCCAGCCTCTCACCCACCAGCACCTCCAAGTTCTTCACAGGGCTGCACTTTTTGCTTCCCATGTGACATTGTCTTCAAGGTTCAACCACTTCCAGGACCTCTCCTCTTACTCTTTTTCAGGTCATTTTTTGCTGTTCTTTCCTCCACTCTGCCCTTAGTTCCTGGTGAGTTGTAAATAAAGGTAACACTGGAGTCTGTCAGAGTTACCTCACAGCATCACCACAGATTCACCCAAGGCTGTTCCACAGCATCACTGTGTGGCCTGAAGATGAACAGACGAGGATCAGGACACACATACAGCTCTGTGCTGAGGCAGATGGCACCAAAGGGGACCGAAAGTGCCCTCTGAAGCTGTCATGCTCATCTCCAGGCCTTCCCCCCTCCTCTATCAGGAGGGAAATAACCCAGCGCATTTGTATCTTTGCTTGTTGGCACTCTGCCCTACTTACCCTTGTCCCAGGCTCATTTGTGTTCCACTGCCCCCACAGAAACCTCAGCTTCCTCCTACCCTGATGGTTCCACCATTTGGCCTCAGTCATCAGCTGTGCCACACAACCTGCATGGCTCAGCTCTGGGTCAGCCTGGCTGGCTTGGCCAGGTCTGGTCCATCTTTCAGCCAGTCTGGCACAGTAACATCATCCACTGGTCAAGCAACGCCCAAAGCAACGCCCAGAGGCATCAGCCCATGAAAAGCCCAGGCAGGCCCTTGTGCCCAAGCAGTTTCTTGCAGCACTTCCTGAAGGTTGTGGGTGAAAGGGCAGCAGAGAGGGGGGACAAGGCAAGGGCCCACTTTCATCTCCCACACAGGGAGGAGTGGGCAAAACAGCAGCATTTCCCTTCAGAGACCTTTGAGAACCTGCAGGTATTAGAGGCCAGGCCCATGCAGCCCCCAGTGACACAAGTGGGTAGGAATGAGCAGGGCTGTTGGGTGCCCCTGGGGACAGACTCCAGTTGTTATTCACCTTTATTTACAACTCACCAGGAACTAAGGGCAGAGTGGAGGAAAGAGCAGCAAAGAACAGCCTGAAAAAGAGTAAGAGCGGAGATCCTGGAAGTAGTTGAACCTTGAAGACAGTGTCACATGGGAAGCAAAAAGTGCAGCCCAGCTGAGAAGATCTTGGGGATGCTGGTGGGTGAGAGGCTGGACATGTCCCAGCCGTGTGTGTGTTGGCACCCAGAACCCCTCTGTGTGCTGGGCTGATCCCCCAGCGTGGGCAGCAGGTGAGGGGGGGTTCTGCCCCTCTGTCCCACTCAGGTGAGACCCCCCCTGCAGAGTTGCCTCCAGCTCTGGAATCCCCAGCACAAGAAAGACATGGAGCTGTCGAAGCACATCTGCTACTCCTTTAGCACCTCCCACAGGGAGAGGCCTCACCTGGGCTGCTGGCTCACCTGCAATAGCCCATCCCACCCGGAGGAGAGTGGGAGAGGACCTTTCTGCAGGGACTGGAGTTTAAATACCACGAGGCTGGTGCTTAACAAGGGCCAACCCCCACAGCTGCTCCAGCTGCCAGGACCAGTGTGCCCAGGTGGCCAAGAGGGCCAATGGATCCTGGCCTGGCTCAGGAACAGTGTGGCAGCAGGAGCAGGGCAGGGATTCTGCCCCTGGACTGAGCACTGGTGAGGCCACCCCTGGAGTGCTGTGTCCAGTTCTGGGCCCTCAGCTCAGGGAGGACATGGAGGGGCTGGAGCAGGGCCAGGGAAGAGCAACGAGGCTGGGGAAGGGACTGGAGCACAAGTGCTGTGAGGAGAGGCTGAGGGAGCTGGGGGGGCTCAGCCTGGAGAGGAGGAGGCTCAGGGGAGACCTCCTGACTCTGCAACTCCCTGACAGGAGGGGGGAGCTGGGGGGGGGTCGGGCTCTGCTCCCAGGAACCAGCAGTGGGACAAGAGGGCACAGCCTTGAGCTGCACCAGGGCAGGTTTAGGTTGGATTTAGGAAGAATTTCTTTCCAGAGAGGCTGATCAGCCATTGGAATGGGCTGCCCAGGGAGGGGGTGGATTCTCCATCCCTGGAGGTGTTTAAGGACAGACTGGATGTGGCATCAGTGCCATGGGCTGGGAACCACGGCGGGGTTGGATCAAGGGTTGGACTTGATGATGTCAGAGGTCTTTTCCAACTTGGTTGATTCCATGATTCTGTGACCAGTGGGGCAGCTGTTCTCTACACTCTGCTGGGAGTTGTGCTTCCAACATCTCCCTGCAGTGCTACCCACCTCTGTGCTCTGCTGAATCTGTCCCTCACACCAGCTCCTTCCCTGGACAGAAGATTCCCTGCAGGTGTAGGACATCAACAACAGAGTCAGCTGCAGCTCAGGCCATCAGTGCCTAAACCCTTCTCTGCTGGGCAGTGCAAAGGAAGTAGAAGAGCCAAGGAGCAGTGAAACACTGACCTGCCAAATGACCACCAGCCCCCACCTCTGGCTGGAGAACAGGTCTGATGGAGCGCTCAGGATGATCCATGATTACCTGCACTGCTCAAAGGTTCCCTTAAAAGCAGAGGCTTTGCAAACCTCAGTTTTTTGTTCCCCAGATGAAGAAGCTTGGTCAAAGTACCAGAGACTTGGCACAGGCAGGGCAAGGACAGCCATGTTTCCTGTATCACTGCCCAGTGCTCTGGTCTCTAAGCCAACCTTCCCTCTTTGCCTCAGTCCCTCAATTCCAACCAGCTGCTTTTCCACAGCTTGGACTAACCAGCTCCCAAGCCTGGGCAGGCACAAACACACACCAGGGAATGTGAGGAACACACATCACATTTATACCAGGAACAGGAACGCGGACAAATGAGATGGGAACAGAACATTCCTACAAGACACCACTTGAATTTATGTTTATTTTATATATATATTTATATATATATACCTTTGTATAGATTAAACTGGGGGGATTTTATCATATACATTTTTTTGGTCTAATACATGAGAAACAGGGACAGGAACATAGCAAATATAAATCAGTACATTCCTTGAGTGAACTCCTTGCCACACCGAGAGTGAAAAATTGCATGCAATGGGGAGACAGAGAAAAGGGAAATCAATTTTATTAGAAAAAAAAAAAAGAAACAAGACAATCCAGGTACAACTGTCAACGGAGGAGTAGCACTATAGATGGCAAACCTGTATAAATTATAAGTAAATTCCACTCTGACATCTACTATGCTTTAAAGTGCAATGAAGCCTGATTTATTTACCTACAGAAATACAGGAAAGATTCCCCCCCTCTCCCCATTCCAATCTATCCCTAAAAAAAACACAACAAAACAACCAACCAACCAAACCCAAACAAACAAACCAATAAAATTAACCTAAAGGATATACGTTATCCACAGTCCTACAGAGACGCCTACAATCTACTCAGTAGCACCAAGAATCTGATATGGGTGTAATTAAAATCAATTAAAACTCGGGAGCAATGGTAACATCTGTCTGCTGCTTGTGCAGCCCTCCTGCCCGCTGTCGGTGTCTCGGGGGGAGGCTCTCCCTGTGCTGGGTGAGGGTGGCAGTGCCCACACCCGCTCTGGCAGCAGCTCCCAACACACCACACGCACACACAGCACAGCGAGAGCAGTGTGGGGGACGGGGGGACACGGGGGGACACGGGGGGGACACGGGGGGGACACGGGGGGGACACGGGAAGCCGAGGCCCCGCGCGGGGTCTGCGCAGGCGGGTGTGGAGGGAGCGGGATTGACCTACACGGAGGGGAAGGGAAGGGTTGTGCGAGTCCAACACGCGCCACGAGCCTCTTTGGTGACAGGGTGATGGGGAGGGGAGGGAGGGGGAGGAAGGGGGTCAGCACAGCCCCCCTCTGGTGAGCCTCTGGCTGCGTTGTCTTCCGAGGCCGGGGGCCTCTGCGCCACAGTTCATCTGTCTCCACATGCCACCCCTCGGCAGCCTTCAGAAGCCAAAGGTCTCCTGGGAAGCGTAGACCATGTAGAGGAAGCCATCCTCGTCCTTCTCCTGCTCGTAGATCTCCGAGATGGGGGTGGACACGCTGACCATGCTGTGCTGGTTCACCAGCAGGAAGAACGCCTGGGTGGGATTCAGCTGCAAGCGGCGCCTGTGGGGGCAAGGGCAGGAGGGGCAGGGTCAGCCCACCCGGGGCAGGTGCCCTGACAGCCAGTTCCACCTCCCCAGCAACGCTGTTCACTTGGGGCCAGGCCTGCACAGCCAGGACCTCCTCAGGACCTCCTCTCACCACTCAGGACGTGGTATCTGTGAGTCCAGCTAAGCAGCTCGGGGCTCCAAGGCCTCCTGACTCAGGAACTCACAAAGCCCCCTTCTGCAAGTGCTGCTGGCAAGGGCAAAACAGAGGGGACTCTTCCCTCTGAGCTGAACGATAAAATGAGGGGACTAAAGCCCCCCTCATCAGCTCTTGATTGTCCCTGTGAGGGAGTGGTCACAGACCTCCAGCACATGCTAAGAACCTGCCCCCTCAGTCCCCCAACAGTCTGTACCACACACAAGGATGCTGTGGCTGCCAAATCCCCATCCCTGCCCTCAGCAGCTGCCTCTGCCCCACCCTCACCCCAGCACCCCGTGCTGGGTGACCTGTGGGTGAGGAGAGGTTCACAACACACCAGCTGAGGCCACCCCACTCACCGGATTATTTTGACCAATTCACTCATGTTCACATGGTCTGGGACAAGGAACTTGGTCTTGTCCAGCACTGGCAGCTGTTTCTCCCCTTTGTAACGTTCAATGATGACCTGGGGAGAAAGGCAGGGGTAGAATTAGTCATGTTTACAGTGCCCCCCACGCACTGGCCTCAAGGCCAAACACAAATCCAACACCACTTTCAGACTGACCAAACCCACAGGTTTTGCTGGCTTGAGCTGCAGAACTGAGCTCATGGTGCACAGTTTTCTTCCCCTTTCCTTCCTGCTGCCATTCAGCATCACTCTGCCTGCTCAGGAGCAGCTGCAGACACTCCTAAACAAGCAGTTTTTAGAAATCCCATTGAAGCCACCCAGGGCATTCCTTCAGCAAGGGGGAGTTTGGATTTCATCAGTCCCACTCCTTGTGTTAACACTCAGACACACTGACTCCAAGAAGGATCAGGAGACAGGGCCACTCCTCCCATGTGCCACCCCAACTGTGTAGGAGCTTCCCAGGCACTCCTGCACAGAATCACCCCAGGGACAGCCCAGCCTGTCCTCCCCTGTGAGAGTTCCTGCCCGGGAAAGCTCTTACCACCCTACATTCTGAAACGGCTGAACAATGATTGCTCTTCCATTTTCCTGCTATTATAAATAATGATTTTCTTCTGTTAAGCCTTTTGCTGCTTAACAGCTACAACTGCTGTTCCAAACCAGCCTGGAAAGGTACCATTTGTAGTCTGAGAATAAGGTGGAAGGCAGTTAAAACAGGTAAATTAATTTAGTAGGTAAAATTAAAATAAGTAAAGAACTTACACAGCTTAATCCATTCCTGCTGCAGAAATGCTCTGATTCTCACATCTCTCAAGTACACAGCTATTTTCTGCACAGAGAGACACTTGGATACTCATCAGCCCATCACCCTCTCCCACTTGAGACTGAACATTATTTTTCTCTATAAGGCAAGGAATTCCCATAATTTATTTTCCAAGGTCCTTTCCAAATTTACAAGTGAAATTTGTACTTCAAACTGCCAATGGCTGCGGGCAGCAGAGGGATGGAGCAGCACGCAGAGAGGAGGATCCCCAGGAGATGGCTCTGCAGAGCCAGAAGGACCAGGGAACCTCTGGGAACACCGACTTCCCTTTCCCTTGAGCCTTTGTTGCCACCCCACCCTCTGGCAGCAGCAGCAATGGAACTCCTGCCAGCCTATCCCAAAGCCAGAGCTGAAACTCCAGCAGGGACGCTGCGGGGTCACCAGTGAGCTGGGAATGTCTGAGGAGCCCCTCAGGGCTGATCTCAGGGCCCACCAGGATGGGCCAAGCCCCTCTGCAGGCAGTGCCTGGATGAGGGAGGGGTGCCAGGGCCTTGCTGAGAGCTCTGCACCGAAAACCCTCTGCAGAGCCCACCCTGAGGAAGCTCAGCCCAGGGGGAACCCAGGGAGCCAAGGGCCAGACAAGCAGCACGTGAAGGTCCCCAGGGAACAGCAGGGACACCTCCTTCGGCCCTTTGCAGGACGGGCTGTGACTGAAGAACTTGAGCCTTACATGGACAAGGCAGTGCTCTGGCTGTGGGGAAAGGAGTGGTCTCGAGGGGCTGGACACTCACACCAGCCACAGACAGGGATGCTGCTGTGGCCACTGAGAAACACAGAGGCAGCTCTGGGACCTTCAGTTTGCACAAAAGAACAGTTATAGAGCAGCTGTCTGTGCATCCACCTCTACCTGCAGAGGGGGCCCTGTACACCTGGGTGATGCCTCATTTCTCATATGAGCAGGAGCAGATGTCTCTCATTACCAGCCAGTTCCATCCCCAAAAAAAAGCCTCTTGACTAATCCAAAAATGGGCTGGGAAGGATGTCCTGGCTGTTAGAGCAGCAGCTGCCTCGTGCCCTGAGCACACACAGAGCCTCTCATGGAGAACAGCTCCAAGAGTTTCTGTTCCCAGAACACGAGCTGCTATTTGGGTAACCCAGCTATGGGAACAGGTGGCCAATGGACAAAACGTTCTTGTCTTGCTCTGGAGGGAAAAACATGATCAGATGCTAATGTTACATCCCTCTGGCCACAGGGTGTGTGTGCACAGCCATCTTCCATCCCAGATCCTCTTCCAGGAGAGGGGCTTCCTCAGCATGGGACACCTGCTCTTGCACAGGGAACCCATCACAGATCTCTCTGCAGAAATCACACAAGTGGGCACCGGTGGGAAGTGGAAAGGCTTAGGGCAGAGCCTGGGTCCTGGTCCCACTACAGGAGGGGTTTGGGCAGCATTTACAGACACAGCCCTTGTTCTGGGGCTGGTCTGGAGAGGTGGAAAGGGATTTTGCTAGAGAATGGGGCTAGATGTGGCAGCCTGACAGAGTCAAAGTCCAACCAGCAGCGAGGCTGAGAATGTGTTCCCAGCAGGCACAGGCACAAATGTGTGCATGAACACACTCCCTGATATCCGTGGCCAGGCAGAGGCTGACACAGACACACAGAGCACTCACCCCAGCACAGGCAGCACAAGTCTCACCATGTGCCACTCCAGCTGTGGGAGCAGGGTGAAGGTCCTCTAGTGGGAACAGACACAGTAACCCCTCTCAGTCCAAAAAGTGCTCCGGTGTTGACCCATCAGGAGTTGCATCAGCCCTGGATGCTGAGTCTGCAGCTCCCCAGAACAGCCCTCCAGGAACCCAGAGAAAGTTGTCCCTTGCTCTGAGTCCATAATTCAGGTTTCCAACCACCACTGTGCCAGGACAGGGCAATATCTGGGATCCCTCCACCTGCCACTGCCTTTCTGTGCTCCTCTGTGGGTGCTCAGATGAACCAGAGCCCAAACGCCCCCTCAGCCCTCCCTACCAGCATGAGGGGTGGCCCTGTCCCCTCTGCAGCTGTACAGCCCATGACCAACCAGCCTGGCTGAATTAACCATTGCAGGGCTTTGGGAAATGGTTTGCTCCAGTTACTGCCCAGCATAAGCTGTTCCCCAGGGATTTCAGACTCTCTGAGAGTTCAGTGGGCTCCAGAAAGAACCCTGGGGCTGACAGCAGGCAGGGGCAATGGGTGGGCACAGGCCCCATGCCCTCTAACAGGGCAGCAGATGGTTTCTAAAACATCTGCTGAGGCTGTGGATGGGGGTCCCAGCGAGAAGGCTGGAAGTTCTCTGCCTGCTCTGACTGCCTGAGCAGGAACTACCCTGTGAGGGGCAGCCAGAGATTCCTTTCCAGCAGAGCTGGGCTCGAGCAGCACCTCAGTGCCAACACAACCACCTCACCTTCTCAGCAAGAGCTGCATGTGCCTGTGGTCAGGACTTTGCACCATGGAAGCAGAGCCAGCTCTGGGAAATGTAGGGACAACAAAGGAGCCCCCGACACGAGGTGGACAGGGAACCACTGGGGAGCCCCTGGCTCCTGCCTGTCTCCAAATCACCTGTGCCAGTGAGGTGTCCTGGCATGTGATTTCTCTTCAAACACAAGCAGACAACTCCATGCCTCAGGCAGGGTCCAGGTTGTCTCTGGTGGGCTCAGACAGACACACCACAGCCCTCTCCCCACACAGATCTCCATGTACATGTGGCACAGCCCCTTCCTCAGTCTCCTCTGGAAGTACACTCCTGGAAACAGGAGAGACATGCCCTTCCCTGGGCACACAGCCAGGCCATGCACTCTGCAAATCCTCCTGGCCCCCTGTCAAAGCAAAACGGACTCACCCAAGGGCCCTGAGTGGAAACTGGAGATGCAGGAGGGCAGCAGGTGCCTTGCTGTGATTTCTGCCAGCACTAAGGGTGTGTGTGACCTGGCCCATCATCAATCTCCCCAACTCCTCCAGGCTGTGGGCTCAAACCCTCCTGCTAATTCCAAGGGCCTCTCCAGGGAAGCCAGTCACTTGGCAAACACAGCTCCTGCCTTTCAGAGATGACCACAACCTTCCCACAGCCAGTTTGCCCGCCCTGTGCTGCTCAGACCTACAGCAGTGCCCACACCACGCTCCATCCTGCACAAGGCTCTGATCACTGCCCAGCACTGACACCTGTGCACAGTCACCTGCAGGAATTCTGCCTCGGGAAACAGGAGAGACAGCACCAAACTGCTGTTGGGGTCTAACTGTGGCCAGGTCTTTAGAGACACCAGTGACAAGAACACGGCTGGACCCCCCAAGGCCTTCAACAGCCTTCTTACCCCGATTCTTTTTAGTGCTCCAGCTAAACGTGTCCTGTGCTCTCCTGCCGTGTCCCTCAGCCCAGGAGAGCAGAGCAGCTGAGGGACGAGCCGAGCCCCTCGTCCTCTCCCAGTGCTGGCACTCAGGGCACTGAACGAGGGGCAGAGTGGAGAGCTCAGGTCTCTGCCACAGCCAAACCTCTGCACACAGAGCTCCCCTCACAAACACACCAGTGCCGGGTCCTGACGACACAGAAACCTCCTCCTGGGGCATGTGGTGCTGACCCCAGCACAAAGAGCACTCCAGCCATGGGAGCTCTCCCACCACGTCCCAGTAAAGCCACCAAACTGTGCCTGTGGATGCAGAGCTCTGGCTCCTTTGGTCCATTCCTCAGGCAACACACATTTGTGTACAGTCACTTGATATATGCAAGTGACTGCATTTTTTGAACAACTTATTTCTAGCCTGGCCTTACTGCCAGAGCCTGAAGGCACTGCATTTAGCTCTGGCACAGCCCTGGAGATACACAGAGCCAGTCTAATGGCATTGAAAGTGTGTTAAAAGCAGAGGTCAATCAATGTGTTGATGAGCTGGTGTATTGGTACCCAGTGTGCAGCCCTGCTGAGCTGGCAACACATGGACACCACAGTGATGGTGAGGGAGAAGGAAGAGAAAGAATTCTTTTGGCTGAAAGACACTGTGCTAAAATCAAAGTAAGAGTGAGGCAGGAGTGGACTAGGATGGGTCAGGAGCAGTTTGAGACATTCAGCCTTGAAGGCCAAATACTGAGAGACAGTCTGCAATTTTAAGATAAGGTTGATGTTCATCCAACACTTGGGAGGGAGCTGAACTAGGAATGCATCCTGATTTTTTGGTCATACATGCTATGGTATCGCAAATAGTAACTTCAGCAAGCCCCAATTTCATGGAATCATGGAATCGTTTGTGTTGGAAGGGACCTTAAAGGCTGCCTAGTTCCAACCCCCCCTCTAGGGGCAGGGGTGTCCCTGGGTGGCCTAGGGTGTCCTAGGTCAGGTTGCTCCAAGCCCCATCCAGCCTGGCCTTAAAAACTTCCAGAGAGTGGGGCATTCCTCTAGGTTCTCCACCTTCTCAGGAAGAGAAACAAATACTCAGGTAGAATCTCAAAAACACACTCAGAGCCAGAGAGCAACATGGTGCATTAGGTGTGACATGGGCAGGAAGGTCGCGGGGTCTCACCTGGGCATATCAACAACAGGTGCTGGGAAAGCACAGAAGGGGTATGAATGATCCTGACAGAGCCTCTGTGTTTTCAACACAGCAAAGATCATCTCACACACCTTTCTCTGGGCAGAGAGAAATCTTTACCAGGTCATCCAGAAGTCAAGAAGCTACTACAACCCAAAAAAAGGACATTTCAGAGTTTTCTCCTGCTGCACTAGCTTGGAAATAGTTTTGAGAGCAAATCAGTCCCCTGCCTCTAGGGCAGACACGAGGCTTTAGGGGCAGCCTGCACTTTGCACTGCACAGAACGTGTCTGCTGTGGAGCAGCTGGCACACACAAGGCACTGGAGGCTCATGGAGACCGTCCTCTGTTGATTCCAGGGAGCAAAGTTTTGTGAGCCCCATGGAGGCCACCCAGCAGCACAGAGGAGTCCTGAGAACAAAGTCTACCACAGCCCAGTGAGAACAATCACTTACCGGAATTTTGTTTGGATGCTGCTCTCGGATCTGCTGAACTTCCTTACAACGATCCGCTGGAGGGAGAGCAAAGAAACGGGGTTAGAGACACCTGTGTGTGGGAGCTCAGGCAGAGCTGAGGCACCCACCCTGCAAACCACACACTGACACACAGGGACACTGCCCAAGGAATGCAAGGTCTGCTCACCAGGCCTTTTCTGGGCATGGTCAGCCTCCAGTGACCAACCCTTTACTGTTTCCTATGGCCCCAACCAACCCCTCCAGGATGGGACGCACCCCCCTGCCTGGTAAACCTGGGCAGCACACCTGGAAACCAGCAAAATGAAAGGAGACCATAAGGATAACAAAACTAACCTAAATCCACCAGCAGCACAGTTTTGGGGTCTGAGCTCGGCAAGTCCAGGCTCTTTGTGTCTCCTGGATGCTCTCCCCAAGGAGATGATTCTCCAACTGGGGCTGGGTTTTAGCCATTTCCTTCTGCCTGTTGTGCACTTCCAAGCACTGTCTGGCACAGAGCCTGGTTCCACAAGAGATACACCTTGCCAAGAACTCCTTCACTAGCACAGATCTACAGAGCAGCTACAACAGCTGTTGGCCTGACAGAAGGTATTTCTAGACCTGGATACAGGAAGAAAACCTTAAGCAAGGAGATGACCAACGTACTAAAAGACTTCCTGCAGTTGTTCTCACACTTTCTAACCCATTTGCTCCCAGAGTTCATGTTTACTGACACGCACAACAGGCAGCACACAAAGCTTGCACACTCCTCCAGCTTACAGGAGAATTCTCATGCCCCTCACTGCTTTAGCAGAGGATTCTCTGCTTTCCACAACCCAAAGCAGCACAAAGAAGCAGTGCCAGAGCCAGGTATAGCTCTGTGTGTGCTCCTCCTGGGACACCACACACCTACACTCCTCCTGGCATTACCTCCTCTGGAAGTGCTTCACAGCCTCCAGCAGCCCACCTGAAGTGCCCAGGGGAAGCAGTTTTGTGGATCACGGTGGGTGAGCTGGGGGTGAGGGTCAGTGACTAAGCACTGACTGGAAAAGTGAGATCTGGGTATCAGAGGATCCACCATCGGATCATCCTGCCACACACACCAGCTCCAGCCCAACTCCTCTTCCCAGCTTACACAGCCCCCATTCCTCATGACCCACCAGGATCATGGAGGGCAGGATAAGCACCTGTGTTTGAGTGTTTTCTCCCCAGAAACGCTGAGCATTTCTCCTCTGAGCACTCAATAAATCCTTATTGTTTATACATTGAATTTGGTTAGAAACAACTTTAGGAAGAGACTGGAGTTTCTTTAGAGGCCACGAGGCCACAAAATCACCAAACCACAAATGCTTTGAGCACCATTTCTGCCTCCTCTGTGGGGAAAATATCCCTCTGCTAGGAATGGCTAGACCTTTTATTCTGCAGGACTCCAAGTCAAGCAACACAGAGAGCAAGATTATTTGGATTTCATGAAATATTCAGGCATATTTGTTCTGGAGTTTATGACTGAAGATGCAGCTCCTCATGGTTCCTTTTCACCCAATTCAGTGCACCAGGGATCCAGAGTTATCCTTGTGACACAGACAGTTTTCCCCCGAGGTCCCAGTCAGCAGGGAGTCACAGACATCAGCACCACACGTGATGCTGGTACAGGGACACCTCTTTGGGAATGCTGAAGGACACAGTGACAGCAGCACCCAGCACCCAACCCAGCACCCAGATGGAGCAGAAGCACCTGCCCCTCTCTGCAGTGCCCCCCTCCCACGTGTCCACTGTGGACAGGCTGCAGCAGGATGGAGCATCCCAAAGGCTGGAGATCCAGAGCATGACTAGACAAAAACTACCATCATAGGAACTTCAGGCACTTTGACTGCAGCCAACTCAGACTTCTGGGTGTTAACAGAGCTGTGTCCTCCCGGCTGGCCAGTTTTCCCAGCTTTAGTATCCACCCTATCCTGCTTCTCTCTGCATCCTGTCAGATGGCCATGTGCATGAACTCCCTAGACCTCATGCTTTGCCCTGCAGGGTCACAGAACTGTTTGCACAAGAAGCCCCAGTGATGCAGGCAATGGTGAGAACGGTCTGAGAAGGAGTTTGTTATCATGGCTAGTAAATGTAGATAATCTCAGAGCATCCAGCTAGCCCAGGATGCACCTGCCAAAGGGCAGCCACACACCAGACACCCCTTCCTGCTCCCTGGAAGCACCACCAACTCCAGCACAAGGAGATGGCACGAGCCATCACCACCTTCACTTCCACAGAGGAGACAGAGGTGCCCCCTGCCCATCACACTGATAAAGATGCCACACAGAGAGTAAAATGGTCCATCCTCAATCCAGCTGCACATCAGTGCCTCAGGATCCCACCCCAGCCCTTTGTCCCCTGAGGAGAGCAGACCAGGTGCCTTGGGCAGAGGCTGCTGCTGCAGGATGCTCCTTCCAGATCTTGCTGACTCCACAGCAGGAATCAAGGGCATGAGCCACCAGTGACAGAGCTCTCAGCTACCCTCAAGTCTGCTGGACCGCAGTGGCAGCTCCCTCTCCCACCCTTTAAAACCTGACATGTGCCCAGGACCTGATCCCTTTGGCCAGCAGGGCCCAGGGCATTTGGAGCCCTCCTGAGCCCAGGGGACTGATCTGCAGGTTACCAACAGTGCAATGACAGCAGGTGCAGCTTTACTCCAGGGGCTGCTGGATCTCTCCAGCAGGTCCCTGTGACTGCAACTACAAGCACCTCAAGCCCTGCACTTCCTCTGCCCTGGAAATGCCCATTTCAGAAACTTCATTCGGGAAGGCAGTCGGGAGCAACCCCACCCAAGGTGTTCAGGTGCCTGAACACACCGGCTGAAGTTTCTGGGACACCTGGAGCTCTGCTAAGGAGCACATTCAGTCCCATCCTTGCCTTGGATAGCCAAGGAAACAGGCTTGGGAGTCAGCAGAAGCTGCATCAAACCCTGCACGAGGGTAATTTCTGTGTGCACAAGAATTCAGGCAGAAGAGATCTCCAGCAAGAAATAGGTGATGGTCCCCCACACCCTCCTCAGCCGGGGCTGGGAGGGAGAGGTTGATCCTGTGACTCATCAAAGCATCAACATCACACAGCAGGAACAGCTATAAATACCACCCTTATTTTAGTGTATTTACAGTAAATCTAAGTCAGAGGAATAAAGGGAAAACACTTAAAGGGCACCTGAGGGAGACACGTCTGGAGGTGCCAGCCCAGCCCCTGAGCTCCTTCTTGCACGGCGCTGTGGACAGGTATGATCCCCCACCCGGGCACTCAGTGTTTGCACACTCACATTTCACACACAACAGGCCTGATTTTACAAGCCTTGTTCTCCTCCTGCAGCTCCCCCAAACCAAAGCTGTGACTTTCTCAACACAAGGTTGAGACTTTCCCCTTTCCTGCAGCACCTGGCGCAGTTAATCCTCAGCTGATGTGCAAAACTAATCAGAACTGTTCACACAACCCTGTCCCTATCCACATTCTTCTCCTGTGGTCCCTCCTCCCTGAGGGGAAGGAGAGCATCACACGTGAGTGCAGCAGCTCAGGGGCTCCACTGCAGGGGCTCCAGGCAGCTGCTGTTCCAAGGAGCTGAGCACAGAGCCATGACCTGCACGCAGAGGGAAGAGCCCCATCCCTGCTCCAGGGGTGGGCACTGCACATCTGCCACGAGGGAAGCCAGACTTCTCCCCAGTGCTGGGATGTCAGAGCTCAGGACGGCAGCAAGACAAACCCACACACTTTCATTGGTTATTCCCAGGGAAAATTCTCTGCTAGAGCCTATGGAAAGACAGGAGTATTTTTGTAGCATTGCATACACCAGGAAATTGCCTATTTCTCCTCCAACTGCTGTTTCAACTGTTAAGTACCAACAGCAAAGCCTGCAAATTGCCCAAAACACCAGAATCTTGGCTGTTTTCTTGACTGAGGTCCTTCCCAAGCTGTTCTCCCAAAGATGCAGGCACGCCGCGTGCGTATCCCATGGCAATGCAGGATGAGATCATCACAGCAGCTCAGGAGAACAGTGGAAAATTTCAAGCCTCACTTCGCAAACATTAACCTTTTTTATCAGCAGTGCCCAGGAACCCTGGCCACGGGAGCCAGGTCCCCGCTGTGCTGGGCACTGTGCAGACACGGGATGAAAGGACAGTCCTGGATGCAAAAGAGCCTCAGGAGGCAGAAGATGCAGATGGTGGGACAGAAGGAAAACACGCGGCGAGCTCTCCAGCAGCGCCCTTGCGTAAGGGGCACCGTTCTTCAGGGGACACCAGACCAACACTGGTCAGGCACTGGTGCTGCCCCAGGGCAGCAGAGGGACTGCAGGAGCAGCAGGAATGCTGTTAGGAAAAGACACCACCTGGAAACGTCATCAACGTGCTACCAGGTCAACAGCTCCTGAGGTGAGCAAGGGCTGTGTGTGGAGAGCAAAGCAGAGACCAGCAAAGCAGCCATGAGCCTCTCCCTGTGTCCCAGGGCTCCAGGTGCAGCTGCCAGTGGCATGGAGGGAGTGTGCAGATATCCCTGGCACCGGCAGCAGGCTGTGGCCTTCTCTCTGCCATCCACACAAACACTCTGCCTGGGGCTGGATCTGCCTCACGTTTGAAGCAGAGCCAAAAATGAACATGTTTCTTCAAAAAGCTGCTGTGGTCAGTCCCAGGGCAGAGGGCTGCTATAGAACACAGATCTTTCCCCGAGAGATTTTCTGCAAGGAGAGGTGGAATTGGATGGTTTGAAATCCGGATATGTGTGGGATGAGCTGGCAAGCACTGAAGACACAGGCCAGTCACGCAGGTCATTCCAGATGTACATCACTCACTGTTTCTGTAGTATCACATCACCCTAAGGCCAGACACCTCTAACCACCAGGAAACACCCTCGTGCCTGTGTCATGGCTCACCCAGCACCTGACCTGACCTGGCCCAGTGCTCCTCCTCAGGCCAGTGGTGCTGCAGGAGCAGCAAGAGGAGATTCCCACATCCAGGAAGGGAGGGCAGAATGTGCAAGGCTGACCATGTCCTCCCCACCAAAAAAGGCTGTCTGTCCTAGGCTATGTGGGACAGCAGCACAGCAGAGACCTGACAGTGATTCTGATTGTTGAGTTTATTTAATTCTCCTGTCTGCAAAGCTGGGGGCTCCGCACAGGATGAATGACTCGGGACCAAACCTACACTGCACTGAACCTAAAGGCTTTGAATGGACAGAAAACGTGTCTCATCACGGCACAGGTGGAGCCTGATGCTCCACTGTCCCCAGAAGGTATTGCCAGCATGGAAGTGGATGCTCTGTCTCCATGACTATCCATCCCATCGCTCCAGCTGCGCTGCCAGATATGCCATGTCTGGGAGGATTTCTGAACACCAGGCTCCTGGGGCCCTGTGACTGCAGAAGGATCTCAGTAGCCTTCTTCATTTGCATAAGTTCCCAATATTCCTGGCTCCACAGTAGAGCTTGAAAATGGATTTTAAAACACAAAGAAGAAACACCTTCATATTTTTTAGCAGTTTCAAAATGTAATGGATATGATTTCGAGCCTGGCTCCAGGAATTTGCATCTGGCAAATCCATGGTAAGGACTCATCTCATGACCAAGCAGAGCCACACAACAACTGTGAACTCCAAATTCCTGTCAAGACACTTGTCCTCTGGTTGCACAGCACCACTGCACTGACAAGACAAGAGGGAATGGCATTAAACTGCCAGAGGGCAGGGTTAGATGGGATATTAGGAAGAAATTCTTCTCTGTGAGGGTGGGGAGGCCCTGGCACAGGTTGCCCAGAGAAGCTGTGGCTGCCCCATTCCTGGGAGTGCCCTAGGCCATGCTGGACAGGGCTTGGAGCAACCTGGGCTATGGAAGGTGTCCCTGCCCATGGCAGGGGATGGAACGAGATGGGCTTTAAGGTTCCTTCCAGCCCAAACCATTCTGGGATTCCATGTGCAGGATGAGCAGTGGACCTCCATCATCCAAAAAGCTTAAAACTCACTGCATCCCCTGAGCATGGGGGCAAACACCTTCTGTGCCACCTCAGGATGCCAAACAGAGCATTTACATCAGAGTTCCAGGTAAGCAACTGGCTTTTTGCTCAACATTTAATCACAGTTTCACTGTTCTTGGAAAAAGAGCAGCAAGTTCCTTCTGCACAAGCCCTCAGGAGGCTGCTCTGCAAGGGTTCCCTCCAGCTCCAGTGTGACCTTCCACCTGCACAACCTTCACGACCATAAGCCTCCAAGACAGCAGGAATGCACTCAGATTTCTCAGAACTACTCAGGATGCTTCAAATTGCTCAGACAAAGGCCAGGCACTCCTGCCAGGGCTGTATTTTGGTGCAGCCCACCATGCACGTGCAAGCACCAAGGGCCTTTGCCCTGCCCGGGTCGCTGCTATTTGTGCACAAACAAGCCTGGACACGCAGGGCTCCAGGGCCTCTCTGGGCAGCTGCGCCGGACACCAGAGTCTGGAATTTATCCCTTCATTTCCTCTCACAGCCTATTTCCAAACCACCTTCTGAGCACAAAAGGCAGCAAACGACTGCATGAGCACAGAGCTGGAGGTGTTTAGAGCTGCAGGCCGACCTCAGAATGCCACACGAGCAGGGTGACACACCGAGAGACCTCCCAAGTGACTCTCCTGACCGTGATGCCCACTGGGGCTGACCACAGAAGGAACACCAAAGCCAAGGGACATGACTTATCCATGGCTCACGGCTCCTCGATGGCAGAGCCTCCCAGCCTGACAGCTCCTGGATTCACCAGTCTCCACCCTGCTGGCTCAGGGGGAGAGCTGAACTTTTTGTAGTGAAGAAAGTATTAAGTAACGAACAAAACACACACAGGTTTTATTGTTCCTGGCTGCCAGTCAGGACCTTGTGTTACGTAAAAGAATAATAATAATAAATAAAAAAATCAAAATTTGTGGCCTACATGTCTGGCTGGCATTTGTTCTGGAAGCTTGTTCAGTTCCTCTTGCAGCAGTATTTTCTTCAGTGCTGATAATTAACCCCACATCCAGTCATGTCACAGAATGTCCTCAGTAATTAATCCAAGACACAGGCAGCTGAGCAGCAGCTCCCACCAGCAGCCTCCTCTCAAGGAATCCCAGCTCTCAAAGCACAACTGCCAGTGCATGGACACTCTGAGGGCCAGCTCAGGACCAAGGAGGGCTCACTGAGCAACCTCACACCAAGTTCCACATGCTTTTCCAAGCCAACACCAAGATGAACTGTTGTGGATGGTGTGAGAAGCAGACAATTCATCCACTGCTGGTCCCTACACGGGAACAGGCACGGCTGGCTCACACGGGACTTCAACATTTCACTGTTCCCCAGAGCCACGGGGAATTCAGCTCCACACCCACCGCTGCCTTTCCTCTGAAGAGGAGTGGTTTCCCAGAACTAAAGGCAGATCTCCCAGAGGATGGGACCTGGGATGGGGAATATGCAGTGCAGAGAGGTTGAGGTCAAACCCCTGGCGTTTGTCACCAGGCCAGGGGCTCCAGCTGACCCCCCACGTGTCCGTGTGCTCCTGCCTCTGTGCCAGCGGGACACTGGGGCACGGGGCCGAGCTGCTCCTGGTTCTCCTGACAGTCCAGCACCCAGGCCCATGGCCGTCACCACGCTGTTATGTGTGCACTGAACACACAGCTGGCACCTGATCCAAACCCCCACTTCAGGAGCAGTGGGACAACGCTCCCAAGGACTCTTTTCAGGAAGTGCAGCGGTGTCAGGCAGCCGCATGCTCCTGCTGCTGCCAGGACACCCTGTTCCTCTGACACAGGCCACGGCTTTGTTCTGGGAATTGTTTTGGACTCCTTCAGTGGATCTGAATATGCCTCAGCGTCTGCAGCACACGGATGCAGAGGGTACTGTCAGATTTTACCCCCAAGGACACTCTGCTGCAGACCTTACAAGGACCAGCTCTCAGAGCTCCAATCCCACCACTGGCAGCACCTCAGCTCACAGGAGGGGTCAGTGCTCCGTGCCCTCCACACTCCTTGGATCAAACCCCAGCCAGTTCCCAGCCAGTCCCCTTTTCAAGTCCATAACGAATGAATAGAAAACAGGAAATTTCTCTCAGGAGAGACCCAAGGGCAAAGCAGATGAACAAGCAGGAGAAATTTACAGAAAAACAAATCGCAAAAATACAAGAATGGGGAAAACCAGCATTGAAGGAAGCAGAATCTTCAGTGAGGGGTGGCAGACCAAGAGCTAAGGCAGCCACTTGCCATGAAACCGGAGCCTGGGTGCCTTTTGTAAACAGCCATATCCCTGACTCTGCCTTTTCTGGCTTTTTGGAACTGTTCCACTTCTGTAAAGTTTCGAAGCCTTAAAAATTAAGCCATTCTGAGGGCACAGAGTCGCTGGTGATGTTTTCCACCAGCCCCTCCAACTGCATTGTAAACAATTGCTTCCTGCTCCTGTTGTGTAATGATTCAAAGACAAAAACAAGCCGTATTTACTTTCTCCAACAGAGCAATTACAGCCCTGACCCAAAGCAACTGCGGGGGCTGCCAGGCCTCCTCCTCCTCCTCCTGGCTCAGCTCTGCAGCCCAGTCAGCTGAGAGAGCAAAAGGGCAGAGGAAAGTACAGAGAAACAAGGAGCACTTGCAGTTGCCGGCACCAAACTCCCTCACCCCCCTCCGTCCCTCCGGGGCTATTTTAATCCTGCTTTCTTTCAACTACTCTGAGCCTTGGATTTTGTTTTCTTTCTGGCTCACAGAGTCTGAGTGATCCACAAAGGCAAACCAGACTCCTCCTGACCATAATAAGCTGATTCTCACCAGTTTAGCAGGAGGTAGTTACGAAGGGGCTGATTTAGGATTTCACTGCTTTTAATACATGGTTTAGGAGAACACAGCAGGGTCCCAGTGAGCACCCCGGGGCACCCAGGCTCCGTCTGGTTCTTGTTTGTGCGTGTTCCCTTGGCAGGGGAGGGCTGGGTAAGCATTCAAGGCCGGAAGGGTTGTGCCAAGAAAATACCAAATATTTACAGTTTCCAAGAGAGCAGCGAGGGTCTGGATCAGCAGTTTTCAGCAGGAAAAAAGCTCCAATTTTAAAACTCACGTAGGGAACACGCCCTCACCTGCGTTTGGGCAGTAACTGGCACAACACGAGGCTTTGTTCGGCACGAAAACACCGATTTCGGCGTTACACAGATAGCAAAGCTCAACTGATGCCCCCCAGGGCTGTGACCTGCCAGGAACACGGAGCCCTCCCCGCGCCAGCTGGCAAAGGGCAACAGCAACAGCGGCCGATGTTCCGTCTGACCCCACCGTGGGGTCTGGCGACAAAATCGGGGACTTTCTACGGTCACCTCCCCACCTTCTGAGCCTGCCCACCGCGCCCCTCTGACAAAGGGCGGGTACGGGGCGATCACTGACCCCTCTGGGTCCCAAGGGCCAGCGCAGAGGGCGTGCGGCGCTCGGGAACCACCAACCAGCCCACCGCGGGGCGGGACGGGGCGCGGGGACGGCGATTTGGGGGGGGGGGGGTCGCTGTTGCTCTGACAGCCGGGAGCGACCCCCCGACATCCCCCTCCCGACCGGCACCGGGAGCGACCCCCCGACATCCCCCTCCCGACCGGCACCGGGGGGATCCCGCCCTGCGGGCTCCGCGGCCGCTCGCGGTGCCCTCCCGGGACAGGAGGGGACACGGGGGTGACGCGGGGACCCCCGACACCGCCGGGCTCTGCCGGGCGGGCGCGGCCCCCCCGGAGGGGGATGAAGTGACATCACCGAGCGGCGGCTGCTGCGGCCCCGCCGCCCCTCCGGGCACCGCCCGCGGCCGGGGGGCAGCGCGGGGGGGGCGCGGGGCAGACCCGCTGATCCCCCCGTCCACCCGACCGTCCGTCCATCCTTCCATCCATCCGCCGTCCCTCCCCGCCCCCCCTCCGGGCGCGGCCCCCTCACCGAAGGCGCGGCGCTGTTTGAAGGGCCGGTCCGAGGGCATCGCGGCGGCACCGGCACGGCCGCTCCGCTGCCTGCGCTGCGCCGCCTGACGTCACCGCCGCACGCCCGGGGGGCGGGGCCTCGCCCGCCCGAGGCCCCGCCCATCGCCCCGCCCATCGCCCGCCCCGCGGGGCTGCCCCTGCAGGGGTGGGAATGCCGTGGGAATGCCGTGGGAATGCCGTGGGAATCGTGGGATCGCGGGGCTCGGTTGGGCTGGAAGGGGCGACACTGACCTGGGGTGCCATGGAAATCATGGAATCGCGGGTTGGGTTGGGTTGGAAGGGGTGACAGTGACCTGGGAATGCTGTGAAAACCATGGAATCACGGGTTGGGCTGGGCTGGAAGGGGCCTTAAAGCTCATCCCTGGAAGGTCTTCAACTGGACCGGGTTGCTCCAAGCCCCCTCCAACCTGGCCTTGGACAGGGATGGGGCAGCCACAGCTTCTCTGGGCAACCTGTGCCAGGGCCTCCCCACCCTCACAGGGAAGGATTTATTCCCAATATCTAATCTAAAACTCTCCTCTTTTAGTCCAAATCGGTCCCCCCTTGTCCTGTCATCACTCTCTGCCCGTGTAATAAGTCACTCTCCCTCTTTTTTATGAGCCCCCAACACGAGACAGGGCTGCTGGTGACACGGGGCCAGCAGGAACCCCATGGCAGAGCATCACCATCCCCTGAGGGGACACAACGGTCCGTCAGAGGTGACCCCAAACACCTGCACTGTTCAGAGCAGCACACCAGAGAAGGCAGCAGGAGGACACCTGGGCTGGGATTTCCAGAGGTGCTCACAGGACACAGGTGTCCATGACTCTGGCCTGCAGTGGCTTCTTCTGGACATCTTGGATCAAACACCTTCCAGGTGTCACTGGGAGGAAACGCTGCTGGAGTGAGGTGGGTGGAGGGGAAGGACTGTGCAGGGATACAGCTGAGACAGCTCCAACCCGGGCTGTGCCTGGGAGATTCCAGACAGCAAATCTGGACACGAACCGCCCTCACACAGACTCTCAGACATTTGCAATTCCCACGTCTCCCCGATCATCTGCCAGCTAACGAGCCCCTTGTTTTCCCTGCTGCATCCAGAGCCACGGCTGTGCTGAATATTTCAAAGCCTGCAGCACAACTACAAATAGGGCAGCTATTTCTGGAGCTGGTAAATGAATCAAAAACAACTGCAAACACAGCCTCAGTGCTTCACCAAGAACCAGGTTTAACATCCCTCCTCGCTGTACACTGCAACAGGAGTGTATCATGTTGGAGCAAGGTCTCACTGCTACTGTGAATTGGCACCAAACACGAGTGATGCAAAATGTTAAAGGATTAAGTACAGCCTTGGTAAAAAAAGGACATGAAAGATGCAGCTGGTAAAGAACTGCTCTGATTCTTGTGTCACCAATTAAAAGAAAAATATGTTTAATGAGAATTGAACAAATTCTTTTCTCCTTGTCAAATTTACCCAAGAAAGGAAACACTTTCATGGCCAATGCCATGGATTTTCCTTGACCAAACAGTAGTTAGATAAGCCCACGCTGGTAAGGAAGTGTAATCTCTTCAGACTCATTTTCATAATTAAGATACAGGGAGAGACATTAACCTCTGATATAGGTCCTGTTAATCAGAGAATACCTAAGGGAAAGCAGGAATGATGAATCAGACATGGAAAGGTGAACCTTACACACTGCGTCCTCAGGCAAAGGGGTTTACTATTTATTGCTATAAAGTGTGAACCCCTTTTCGATGAGAGGAATGTGGAACTCCTTCCAATGTAGTGATGTCATCCCTGGTTTTGTCCATGCAGACCTCGTTGCAGGACTGGGGCCATAATTCCACAGAAGATTATTCATACACTTGGAGAAGGAGAAAAGACCCCATTTCATTGAAGCTCTGGAGCTTCTTAGCATGTTAAGGTACTTACAGAAATGGGACATTGATCAAGGAAGTTTTACTTCTAATACAGCACAACGTGATTTATACACCCTTCAGCCCTCAGCTTCCTGATCAACCCTGCACACATTAGTGCCTCTCCTGCCTGGTCTTACTGATGCCATTGGCAAAACTCCTCACTTAAGGAGGTGCATTTCAGATCCCAACCCCCCTGGAGCACTCAAAGGTAAAGGCATCAGTGAGCTGTCTTGACACGACCTGGAACCAGCAAGGAGCTTCCCACCTGCCAGCGTTCCACCTGTGCTGACCAGGAGCACTCCTGGGTGCTTGTGGAGCCACACCAGTGAGGGAAATGTCCCTGGAGAAATCCTGTGATGCTGGTCAAGTGTGTTTTCTTCAACAGAATTGTGTTGATGCTCAGGCCTGTGCTGGCAGGGCAGTGCCTGAGCTCTGGCCCCTGCACAGCCCCAGCTGCCTCTGCTTCTCCTGCTGCTGACAGGGCTCTGAGGAGCTGCTGCAGCTCTGCCCACACGAGCACAGCCCCGCAGTGAAAGGGGCTCTGCCTTCATGCCCTAGAGATGTAGTTACATGTAAGTGTTGAGATCAAACATAAAACCACAGAATGATTTGGGTTAGGAGGGACCTTAAAGCTCATCTCACTGCACCCCCTGCCATGGGCAGGGACACCTCCCACCAGCCCAGGTTGCTCCAAGCCCCGTCCAACCTGGCCTTGGACACTTCCAGGGATGGGGCAGCCACAGCTCCTGAGTGAGGAGGAGCACTGTCATCAGCCACCTTGGGCAGATGAAGAGTTGCTTGGGAGGGCACTGGAGCCAACACAAGCTCCTCAGAAGATGAGTGTCTACAAGCCAAGCTTTTGCAGGGTCACCTCCATTCCTCTGCCAGAGCCTTCTCTCGGAGCAGGGTCAGCACAGGAGAGCACGTCCTTGGGCCTCAAGGGCTGCTGTTCATGGCCCAGAGCCATTCCCCAAACTCCCTTTCACTACCCTGGTAATGTGTCAGGGTTTGTTTTCCACATCCCAGCAGCAGATGCTTCCTCTGCCTTCAGTGAGGGATGCACCAAAACTGACCTCTCCAAGAGAGCAAACCAGGTCAGTCCCCAGCCCCTCCACAGAGCAGCTCCCAGGCACAGGGGCACAGGCTATTCAGGCCATCCTGTGATCCATGTGCTTTCTGCCCAGGAAAAAGGACTGGAACCATCATGCTCGTTTTTCTACTCTTCCTCAATTTGACAATGGTTTTACCATACCAATGACCAGGCCCAGACTCAGCAAGCACAGGACAAGAAGCTCAACTCCATCCATCTCTTTTTTGGCCCTATTTAAGGTAACTTAAAGAAAGTGAAATTCTCCCCTAAACTTACATACAGGAAAATTGCTGCAGGTCAGAGCTCTGTGACCCTCTGATGCTCCTGATCCAAGACACTTTTTCTCCATAGCAAGTAACTAAATAGAAGGTGTCGTTCTTCAGCTTCCTCCACCCCTTCTCCTTTTTTAGAAATAAATCAGAATTAATTTGGATGCAAAGTGTAAAGGTGGCACTAGCAAGGCCCTGCCCAGATAGATTTGACAAGCTCCTTCAGACTCCAAACCCAGCTTCTTAAGACCCTTTTATTCAAATTCCTGAGTATATTTCATGTCAGCCCTTGGGAAAAAAACCCCAACAACCCAAACCAACCAGCACACAGCAGGAGCTGAGTCATTTCACTGCAAGTTTATGATTTCGACCCAGAAAAAGGCCGTGATCTTTGTTTTGCAATAGGTTATTTGTTACAGCTTGTTTTAAACAAAACCCACCTCAACACTCTCTCTCCCAGGCTCCTATGACACAAAGGCACTGGCAGGACAGTTATCCTTAAGGAAGTGTCCAAAAGAATGCAGGGCACTACAGATGGTTCACTGTTCAGGGGAGTAGCACCACCACCTACTTGAGAAAGCCAAAATCCATAAGCAGGTCACCACCTCCAAGGAAACATTTCTCTGGACTATGAACAATAACAGAGAGAGATCACTAAAGTCACATTTTTCTCCTGCCTTGCCTCACTACTCTGTTATTATCCAGACTTCAGCTTGCTGGAGGTCATTTCTTGGGAGACAGCATTCAACTATTGCAGATCACAGGCACTGTACAACCTGCTTTGTACCAGGAGCTGCTCCAAAGGCCAAACAGGATTCCAGACCCTATTCCCTGCTTCGGTGGAATGGCTTAAACCAGACCCAAGGAAGTGGGAGAAACAGTTCATGAACAGGAGCAGCCAACACGGAGTCATGATGGCAGCTGAGACACCCCAAATGCTGTAAATCACCCTGACCCAGATGCTGCAGGGCTGACTACAAATCTCAAAAAGCATTTCTGGCCTTCAGGGTTGTGAACACCACCTAAAAGACAGAGGCAGTCTGTAAATTAATGTCCAGGTGTTAAAATGCACAGAAGAAAAGCTGAACATGGAGGTTACCTGGGCTGTTTGAGTGCCCACACGCCCACCACTGAGCTCTGAAAGCCACAGGTGCCCAAGTCAACACCAACATTTTTACTGAACTCTCCAAAGCTGCACTGCCTGCAGCACCCCCAACCCTGCTTCTTTTTTGTTTTTTTTGAAGAAAAACTCAATCAAAACAACCCCTTTAGTAGCTTGAGAGGGACCACATGACTTTTTTTTGTCCTTAATGGCCATCAAACAAAAAACACTAAAGGAAGATACCGGGTCAAACTGGCTACTGAAGTGGCAGTCTGGGAGCTCCATGGGCAGCCTCGATGGCCTTACTTGGCCATGAAAATTCTCTCTGGAACTGAAAGAAAGAGGTGGGAAAATGTTCCAACACGAGGCAATTGTGAGTGCACTGCATGTGCCCTTAGAGCAAATCCTTGTTCAGAGAAAGCAACAGGACAAGGTAAAAACAGTCCTAGGAAGGTTCTACTTTTTGAATAAAAAGTCAGTCAATCACCAGAATACTTAAAATCTCCAGAAGAAAAACACATAAGACAAAACCAGTCACTGGTGACATATTTTAATATGATATGGTCAGACCTTTTGGAACTAAAACCAACAGAGTAAGACAGAACTAGAGGACAGGCAGAGTCATATTTACAGCCACTCAAAACTAGTAGTGTCAAAGCAGAGCTCAGTGGTGACAGAGG